TAACAGTTTCCAAAATAGGGGCCCCATTTTTCTCTTCATGGTGAAGAAAAAAGAAGGATCAAATTTCACCTCTTCATAGAATATGTCCTTTGGAGACCACACAACAAAGTGACATTTGTGGGTTTCTGTTACTCCCATTGCCATTTGAATCTGGTTATAATACGGATGATTCCTCTTGAGTGTCACTTTGCCATTTACATAGTGGAGACAAAATCTCTCCTTTTGTTTTTTAGAAAGTGTCTTCTCAAAATCATTTGGATTTCCTGTCTTTAGTAAGAAAGGGCACTTGACCTCAAGTAGTTCCCGTATTCCAGAATCGCTTACAATGATCCCATCAGGACTGCATGAGAACTCTGGGTGTCTCGAATTTGTCCACATTCCTGTTGTACTTATCTTTACTGAAGGATCTGTCTTCTTCAATAATGCTTCGTATTCTTCTCTAGCCTTTGGTTCATTTTTGGTCCCATAAGTTGTTGCTTTGTTGCCTCTAAATTTTTTCATTTGCCACAAGTGTTCTCTTAAAAAGGCCTTGTACCCTTTAGGGGTCATATGAAATATCCTCTTACTGAGAGATGAGGGAAAGAAGGAACAGCGCTGGGAATGCCACATAGGACTTTTGGATTGCTCTGATGTATCTGGTATCTCAATGGGACCAGTAATAGGTACATCACAGCGCTCCTTCGCAAATATTTTGCACATTGCAATCACAAGTTTAACATTTTCCACTGGCTCTGTGTAGCATTCATAATTAAATTCTAGGTGGAGATCAAAAATGTATTCAAAGTCATCTTCAGCTTCAGGCTCCTTGCCAGTATTTTTCTTTGCCATAGTCTTCCCTGACGGATTCTTTCTTGAGGTTTTTCTGGCAGTCTTCTTTCGGTCTTTCTTCTTTGGCTCTGTTATGTACAATCTTTGCACTGACTTCAAAAAATTATCTTTAATAATCACAAGATCTTCATCAGTCTTTAACTGCTCAGCAGTTGGCAGAGGGCTGAAGCAGGAACGAATAGGATTTGTCGATGTTTTATACAACTTAGTTATCAGCCCAGGATCCTTAGACCTACTGCCATGACCCCAAGAACATGGTCTGTCAGTGCAGGATAGTGCTGGAAAAAAAATAAGGAACACAATTAAAATCACATTTTATAAAAGTCTAATTTTTAAAAAATTTTCCTTACAGGTGGAGTGTTCCTCTCCCTCTGGACCCGAGATAACACAATCTGTTTCTACCCAAACTTATCCAATTTGGAGTTATGAAGGAATGTCACT